ATATATTTGATATAGTGATAGCAAAACAAACTTGTTTGCAATGTTTGTTTTTGGGGTAATGCTCTGTTTTCCTTAATTAGCATGATGATTGTGATGTGATTCAACCTATAGAAAACAAGAAAACAAAGAGGTTCGCATCAAATAAGTTTGGGATCCAAAATTTTATGGTTTGATCGTTACACTATTCTTATTTTTTCCACTTATACTAATGCGTGAACCTGAATTAATTCTCACAAACACCCTTAAAGTGATAATAGTTCGTATCAAAAAAAGAAAAAACACAGCTTCTTATAGCAATTAGAATGAGTCAACTCAAGATTTGGAATTTGCTACAAGTTCTGCATGCAGTCATCTGACAGATTATCTTATGGGTCATAGGGTTAATGCTATACATATAAAGAATGTGACTGGATGGTAATGTTCATAGTGATTGCATGCTGTCGGTGAGAAAAAAAACATTATCCTCATGATTTTTCTCATGCAATGTGCACCATGAGGTAATGAGAAAGAAAAAAAATATATCAATAGAATGTAATGTTGTGCACAAACTGTCGGTGTACATAAAGTTTTGAGTTGTAAATTCATTCCCATTGTCTTTGTCTTCTTCTCTAGTCCTAAAAGGATCCACCTTCGCTTAATTTACTCGTTTGAGTGTTAATTATGCCATCCATTTAAAAATTAGTTCTCAAAAGGTCGTACAATAATTACCAATGCATATTAGGCGTGGTACATATAATTTTGAGGATTTCATTAATAAATTCATTTTAGCAGGATATAATATACAAAAGCTCTTATAGAACTTATTTAGAGTGAAAATTCAAAATTAGCTAATTGTTATTTTCTAATTAGTTTTTATAAAATCTTAACACACTAAGAACCAATTAGAAAATGACAAGTGATTAGTTTTGAGTTTTTCTCTCCAAATAGGCTCTATATGAGTTTTTGTATAAATGTTTTCCTCCTTGTTTGTTTCTCTCTACTACTCTTTTTTCTCTCTTTTGTCCCGTGGCTGTCGCATATTGTAGATTTCGTTGTTGAATGTTGCAATTGTGTTCAAGTTGTTGGCTTTCACGGCCACGTCCTTCTTTAGCTCAGGGAGTAATTTTTCTTTTTTAGTATTCCTTCATTTGATTTATTGTGTAATGAGCCTTGATTTTGGCTTTAGCCCAAGTGTCTTTTGTTTTTTCTACTCATATTTATTTTGTTTTTCTTCTGTTTCAAATCCATGTTGACGCTGGCAATGCTCTTTTGGTTGCAAGTTTCCGGTGCTGCCAATGTTTTGTTGATGTGCATATCGAAGGGATGTATAGGCTTCCTATTCTTTCTTCTCTTTTCTTGTTGTTCCCCTTTGAGTTGTTTAGGCGCAAGTCTTTTTTTAAAGATCGCACATTTGTTTATGTCTGTCATGCTTGCACTACTAGAATATTTGGGTTTCAGCACCATTTTCGTTTGTGCTCTTAGCTGCAAAAGACACAAATAATTATGCTCTATGTTCAAGGGCCATGGTGCAACCACTATTAGGCTGACGGTGTTGTCTATAGGAGTTTCCATTGCTATAGGACACGAAAGAAAAATTTGTATCAGACAATATAAAGCACGAAAAACAGTATTTGTGCTTGTATTCTGACAAGTTACCTCAGTGACTTTATCAATTGATTAGACATATGTACAGACACAATTATCACCAGTTCACATCCTCTTGAGGACAATGTTGTTGTCTCCGGTGGTCTTGAGGATCTGGAAGATGTGGTTGTCCACCAGCAGCAGCAAATATCACCAGTTCACATCTTAAACACAAATCAATGACACGAAGCCCAACTTTAGCTGAAACCCAAAAAATGTTTGGTGTTTAATTGCACACAACAACATGAACCATATGAAATTATGTGTCTTTGTGTGCGTGTGAGCAAATTACCTTGTTCTGGTTGGAGTGAGTTGGAACCAAGGGCGGAACTACATGTAGACTAGAGTGGGCTTCAGCCTGGTGCAAGATTTAATAAACTACTAGTTTGGTGCAAATTTTATAAGATATTTCCTTCTCCCCCGAATATTAGTCCACCATTTGTTAAGCTAGTTGGCCCACAAAGTCACATACTTGCAATATATTTGTGGTTTGGAGGCCACGTGAGTGGGAACCATTGTTTCTTCTCTTTTCTTCTTCTTCCGATTTACAGGTTAGCATTTAGATCTACAAGTGCAACAAAGCTTTTGTGTTTATGCCTCTGTGTACATTTTTTGGATATGCTACTGCTATGAATTGTACTTTTGTTCGTGTTTCTGCTTCCCACAGTTTCAGTTTCTGATTCCCACTTGGTTCTTATTGTATCAATTAGCATACCCAAAAAAAAAAAAAAAATTGGTTCTCATTGTTTTATATAGATCTTCTATACAAAAAATTAAAATTAAAATTTTAGCACACCTCTAGAAAAATTCCTGGTTCCGCCATTGGTTGGAACAGAACATGCTCACCAAAAAACTGCAACAAACCGTGAAACCAGAAATATTTATAATAAAGAAAGAAAGAAAGAAAGGAAGTTTAGAAAAGTTAAGAACTTTACTGGGCTTGATTCCTAACCTTTAGGGGGGGAAGAGAGAAGAGAAGGGGAGGGTTAGATATTTTCTGGGGTTGGAAAAGATCCGTGTGTTTTTTAAACTATTATAAAAAAAATTAAAAAAAAACATACGTCAGATAAAGACAACTATTTTTTTTATAAAAAAAACTTGGAAGAGAAAAGATACACTACATAAAAATATTGGGCACAAATGTAGTTTTGTGTTATCAGGTGTCACATATGTCAGATAAAGACACAACTATTTGTGTCTACACAAATAAATAATTTTACTTTTCCTAAACAGCTTGTCAAATGATACTTATTATTTATATTCAATTGATATTTGACACAATTCTTTGTGTCCAGTATAAATTTGTGCTTTATGTAAATTAATTTGACATAATTATTTGTGTTTTATGCGAGAAGAGGATGAATAAAATTTATTTGTGCTCAATGTTAGAGATGAGGGCACCATACATGTACTTGTGCTCTTAAGTTCGTGGCTTTTGCTCAATTTTGTAGTAGTGTTGGGTTTTGAATAGTATTGGTTGTTTCAGTGCTATCTTTGTACACTCTTATAATGCTTATTATTTTTTAATAAAGCATCTATTCCAAAACAAAACAAAAAAGAATTTTTGAATAAATATCTCTATAATTTTTTAACGCAGCATGATCCAACACCAAATGACATGACTCGCTAACACGAATTATAAATGAATTGACAACACACTTATTTAATCGGAATTCTGTGAAAAATATTATGTTTTTGTTTTCCTTCCCATTTGTTGATTCTCCTAGAGTCAAATTGGTTTTTTGTTTCCCTTGATTTGCTGCCATCTAGGTTTATTTTTAAAATGATATGAGCGATGATTAATCAAAACATAACAGGTTCCTAATCTTAAATTTAAGATCGAGCTCGATTAATAAATATGTCGGATAAGAAAACCTAAAGCTTTTTATGTTTTTTTCTTGTCAAAGAAAACCTAAAGTTAACTAGCCTAACAATGATAGGATCCACCCAAACAATATTATCCAGGTAATTACCTAAATTGGATTGGCTAACCTTAGCACTAATATAGAAATTAGAATGAATGAAACTTATATAATTTCATCCTATAATAATGATAATCACATTATTATAGAATGAATGAAGCCTTGTCAGATGCACATGATGTGATTAATTTGATGACACTGATAGAGTTGGTGCTTAGCCAAGCACACCTAAACCATGGAATGGTTCAACAATTGTTAGGCACTCTCACGAACTCATTTCCATAATCACATGGGATCTCACGTAGGGGCTTATTCACAATCATGTTCTCATTCATGGATGTTATAAATTCATTCATGGATGTTATAAATTCATTCATTAGCGTTATGTTTTCTTATCAGACTTTAAGTATTTATCGAATAAATACTTACGTTGTTAGAATGTGACGAGAATTAACAATTTATATTCACAATTTGATGAGATAACATTATCCCAAATTTGTCAAAGCTCTTCAATTTCAATGCCAGGTTTCATATGAATCCTGATGAAGCGTCTGCAGCCTGCCAATGTGCAAAAATTTAAGCCATACCTGCATTGAGGTGAACAGTATATATATTTTATATAGAGAGAGAGATATTGTATATGGGGTTTTGACTTTTTTCATGTTACAGGCAGAGAGGCGCGCATTTTTTGATAATTTCATTGATTATAATGCATTAAAAGTGAGAGGGTCAAACCTGTGAAGAATCCCAGAATTGGTTTTACTAGCTGAGAAAAAAGATAAGAAAAAAAAGTCACACAAGCAAAGCAAAGGAAAGAGAAGCAAAAAAGGGTCTTAAATTGTGGGTAGGTTGCTCACCCAACCCTAACCAAAAAGAACCACATGAAGAACCCAATTTTCATTTAATTTTAATACTTAAAGGTATAACTTATAAAGAAAGAAAGAAAGAAAGAAAAAGGGAAAGGGGGCTTATTAGGGTTAAGATAATGATCATAAACAACCCATAATTGATCCAATTAAAACTGTGTATGTGTGTATGTGGGTGACCCATTTTTCTTTCTTTTTTTTCCAATATAATTATCATTGTTTTTTATTTGTGTTTTTTTCTTTTTGGGGTCTCTCTACTTCCTTTATATATATAGTAGTTCCTCAACTAATCTCATTAAATTTCCTCTTCATTCAATGCTCTTGAATTAAATCTCCTCTTCCATTTCCAGCAAAATTAGGTGTAAGAGTTGCAGATGAGAGAGAAAGAGAAGATCATCTTAATTTGCTAGAGCCAGTGGTTTTTGTGGAAAAAGAGCTCTAGAGAGAGAGAGAGAGGTTTCGGGCAAGCTTTAAAAAGTTCAACGACCTCTGAAGACATTTATGGCGCCTGCTGTGCTGCTGTGAAGCTTAATTTTAGTGAGAGAAAACAAAAAAAGAAACAGAGAGACAGACAGATAGAGAACGATTTCAAGGACCAGTCTGGCCTTAATAATTGCTTCTCAATACAATTCTCACCTATAAATCCCTCTCTCAATTAACACTCCACTCCACTTTATATCAGTCACTCTTCCATCTCTCTGCTTCATCAAATATTTACTCTCCTCTCTTGTTCTTCTTCTTGAGAAGCACCACCTTATAGTTAACCTTCCATATTTTTCAGATCCATTAAAGCTCTCTCCTTTTCTCAATCAATCCCTCAAACATTTCATATACATGAAAAACACAACCTGGGTTTTCCTTCTTTTCATCTATTTCTTACATTTCAGACCCATATTCCTATGACATACGTTTTATAGTAACTTCTTCCCACTTCTTTACAACAAAAGTACTTTCCAAGAAAACATTTTCTCGGGAAAATACTTTCCAGGAGAAACAGGTTTTGGGTTTGTTTGCTGGTAGCTTGCTCAGTGAGATTGAGTGTGGTTGTTGCATTGCATTCTTTTTTGGTTTTGGGCGATTTGGTCAATACGTGGCAAACAAGTAAGCATGGATATTGGTACGGCCTTTCTGGTTTTGACGGCCATCACAGCTTATTTACTTTGGTTCACCTTCATCTCACGGTCCCTGAAAGGCCCACGTGTCTGGCCCTTATTGGGCAGCCTCCCCGGCCTCATAGAAAATTCCGACCGCTTGCACGACTGGATCTGCGACAACCTACGCGCCTGCGGCGGCACGTATCAAACATGCATCTGCGCCATTCCCTTCCTCGCCAGAAAGCAGGGCCTCGTGACTGTCACGTGCGACCCGAAGAATCTGGAGCACATACTGAAAACCCGGTTCGACAATTACCCCAAGGGCCCCACTTGGCAATCCGTGTTTCATGATCTTTTGGGCCAAGGCATCTTCAACTCAGATGGCGACACGTGGCTGTTTCAGAGGAAGACGGCCGCACTGGAATTCACAACCCGGACGCTCCGCCAAGCCATGGCTCGGTGGGTCAGCCGATCCATCAAGCTGAGGGTCTCCCCGATTCTTAAATCGGTCACAACCCGGACGCTCCGCCAAGCCATGGCTCGGTGGGTCAGCCGATCCATCAAGCTGAGGTTCTGCCCGATTCTTAAATCGGCTGAGCTTGAATCCGAGCCTGTTGATCTTCAAGACTTGTTGCTTCGGCTCACTTTCGACAACATATGCGGCTTGACTTTCGGGAAGGACCCACAGACTTGCGCGCCGGGGTTCCCGGACAACGGCTTCGCCTCGGCTTTCGACCGAGCCACCGAAGCCTCGCTACAGCGTTTTATTTTGCCCGAAGTGCTGTGGAAGCTGAAGAAGTGGCTTGGGCTTGGAATGGAAGTCACGCTGAGCCGAAGCCTTGTGCACATTGAGGAGTATTTATCCGATGTGATTGCTTCCCGTAAGCTCGAGTTGCTGAATCAGCAGAAAGATGGAAACCCACATGATGATCTGTTGTCAAGGTTTATGAAGAAAAAGGAGAACTATTCAGATACTTTTCTCCAACACGTGGCACTCAATTTCATCCTAGCTGGACGCGACACATCATCGGTTGCGATGTGCTGGTTCTTTTGGTTGGTCACTCTGAACCCAATAATCGAAGATAAAATCTTGCACGAAATCTGCACCGTTCTGATCGAGACACGTGGTGATGATGTGGCTAGTTGGTTGGAGGAGCCTTTGGAGTTTGAGGAAATTGACCGATTGATATACTTGAAGGCAGCATTGTCCGAAAGCCTTAGGTTGTACCCTTCCGTGCCTGAGGACTCAAAACATGTTGTGCGCGATGACATTTTGCCCGACGGGACATTCGTGCCCGCCGGATCATCGGTGACCTACTCAATATACGCAACGGGGCGGATGAAGTCCACGTGGGGGGACGATTGCCTAGAGTTTCGACCAGAGAGGTGGTTATCTTTAGACAGTAAGAGGTTCATAATGCATGACTCAAATAAATATGTAGCATTCAATGCCGGTCCAAGAATATGTCTTGGAAAGGACTTGGCATACTTGCAAATGAAATCGGTAGTGGCGTCAGTGTTGCTCCGACACCGGCTAACTCTGGTGCCGGGCCACAAGGTGGAGCAGAAGATGTCATTGACATTATTCATGAAGCATGGACTCATGGTGAATGTGCACCCTAGGGAATTAGGGGCAATTGTGGCAAGGGCAAAGAAGGACATGGAGGCAAAGTTGCAAGGGCAACAGTGTGTTGGGGTTAAATGTAACGGCGTTAATGGCGAAGCGGTAGTTGGGGTGGCTTAAGAGGATGGGGGTTTTAATTTTGGGTGTTGAGGGTAGGCCGTGTTATGAATGTGGTGTTATTTATGGAGTGGTGGAACCCATGAAGATGAAGACTCAGAGCATAGATGGAGGAATTGGGAAGCAAAGATCATGTGGTTCAATTAAATGTTTTGTAAGTGTGTTGGGTCACAACAAGCAAATTGGTCTTTTCCACTACACAAGGGGGTACAGTTTCTCTCTCACAAATTCATCAGCTTAGAGAGAGAGAGAGAGAGAGCATCTAGCTTTCCCCTTGTAGGGAAAACAAAAAGCAAAAAAAAAAAAAAACAAAGAAAGAAAAAGAGCTTGCAAAATTTTATTTTACATTAAGATTCTTTATGTTCTTGTTTGTTCAAATTTCATAAATTTACATTTATCCATATTTATTACTATTCATTTGGAAGAGATTTTGCAGTGTTCATCTCATCCTTGTAACTTTCTCTGCTTCTTGCTTCATGGATTTTGCCCAATATAATGTTATTATAATTTTTTTTAAATTTTCTGCCTCTTGCTTCATGTAGATAAGGTCAATAAAACTTTCTGCAAGTTCAGAGGGGTGGGGTGGGGTGGGGATTAGTCTTATCTCCAATGGAGATAATGCACAGGTTGTAAACAGGTTTTTATTGTCAGAAGATGATGGATGGAAATGCCTAGTCCTACTTATATTGCATAACAGAATTTTTATTCTTAATTCTTTGTTTCTTTCTGATAATTAATATTTGAGTTATTAGGAAAACAATTATAGCTAGAATCTACATCACCTGAGCTACACATCAAATCTGTATACTACTACACAAATCTAAAGTTTGAAAGAAAATCTGATCACACACCAGCGCCGATACGGTGGAATGCGAGAAGCAATGTTACTGTGGAGAAATCCAGTAAGAAAGAACTTAGGTGGATGACATACTATTAGCATTGTATGGGCAAGGAAAAAGGTTCATGGGGTGCAAATTACCCATAGGTTCTCTACATTAGAGCCATACACTGAAACTAAAGAAGGGATTAACCTGTAAAAAGGGGGGTCTCAAGCCAACCCAGAGAGAGCCTCAGAAGTCGTTACAAAAACATTGATGGTGATATCTTAAAAACTAGTTCACTCAGCCGGAATTCCCTGTCATGCGTTCGCATTTCTTCCATGTCGTCATAGCTTTTATTCCTTCCCATTCTTGCACTTCTCTAATCGAGGATTTTCTCTCCGGTTGAAAATAGGTTCCAGATTAATGTGCCTACGAGGTACAATGCAACAGCCACCTTGAATACATCATCCCAAGAACCTGCAGATATTAAAGTATGGGAAGTCAACAAATTGAAGTTTAAGAAGTCAATACAAAACTGGAAACCGGAAACTGAAAACTGCAGAAGAGAATGATTTAATTGAAGTATTAATTGTACCTCTTTGGAGTATGTACCCGGTTGCAGCTGTACCAAAGACACCAGCAAGAACTCCTGCTGTGTTTGACAGCCCCAGCAATACTCCCTGTAATTGTATTATAAGTTTGATTGCACAGGGTTCAGATAATTTGATTACTTCTTCAGGTATGTTGTTGGTAAAGAATTGAAAGCACAAATAACCTTATAAAATGACAGATTAGAAATTGATTATAGAAAATGGTATATATAGTTCATCAACTAGCCATATGTTCAGAATATAGCAACTCACAGAATAGCGAGGTCCAATGTCTTGATGATTGGAGTAGAGACCAGATTGTGAGAATGCATCAGATCCCTGTGAGTAAGCAAGAGCGTATGAACAGATAACCCTACAAGTAATACTTACCAAACAACACATTTTAGAAGCATTGGAAATATATTCAAGCTCAGTCAAAGTAATAACAACTAGTTTTTACCTGACTGCATGCCATGCATAGTACTGCCATTGCAGGTGTCTTGACACGGCTCAGCTGAGAAAGAAAAAAGGCCGGTCCCAAAAACCCAATTGATTGCATGATCTGCAACAACAAACAAATTTGGAGGAAATCATTAGGAAAAGTAAAACAGGCAAGTCGGCACCTAAACCACATTCAATGCTTCAAGCAGTAATAGTCCTTGCCTTGCGAACTGTCGTCACAGAAAGACCTCTGCTGACAAGTGTATCTGCAATCCAGCCTCCTATATTTGCAAAAACAGCCATGGTCAACCATGGCAAGACACAGAGGAGTCCCGATTCAGTGAGGTTGAACTTCAAAACCTGAATATGCAAGATTAAAAATTAATCTTCTTCTGGTTAAAATTGTTGAATTGCACAAGGATAGGTAGAAAAAGTAGGATTTCATGTGAGACAGTACTTGAAGTTTCTGAATCCAAAGATTGCACAGAGATATGTAAGTGGGTGTTGTGTTGTGGGCATGTGGCTCATTTTTGGAGAAATCAATTCCTTACCTGATTGTAGTATGTAGGCATCCATGTCAATAGAATAAAGGTTCCCCAATTATGGCAAAAGTGGCAGATTATAAGAGCCCAAACAGGTGGTTTTGATAAAATTAGCTTCCAAGGAATGACGGTAACAGGTTCCTTAGATATGTTGCCACCCATGATAAATTCTTTTTCCTCTGTGCTTAGCTCTGGATCTTCTTTTGGTGAGCTATATGCCTGGGGATTCAACAAGCAAGAAAGAGCTTTTACAGTTAACGTTTATGGAACAGCATCTGAAGTGCAGCTTCAATCTGTTCATTCATATTTTCCATACACGTCACGTCTATATAAGAGTATATTTTTGTGGTGTCTGAAGAGTCACTAAGACGGATGGACATGAGAAACCACTGGTGTAACATTATATATGTTCACAAGACAAGTGACCTTATTAAGGATAATGCCCTATACTTTTACTTTAAATTGAAGATTCAGTAGTAGTTCATTCACACAATCCTGGAAATGAAAAGGACATAAGAATATCACACCCAAAGCCTTCAAAACAAGTCTAGTCAACAAACTTTCATAAAAAACAATTCTGAGTTAAAATTACATTGACCTAGAATCAAATATCATTGATTTTTTTAAAATTTTTTTTTTGCAAATGAGTGCATTATTGAATATTGCACAGCCCAAACAATAATACATACTAAAGATATGTAGATATATTCATTTTCTTCTCTTTACATAGTCTATCCTACCTAATCAAAAGTAGACAGGGTAATGCAAAGATTTCCAATGAAAAAACTAAGGAAGCAAGAGCATACTTTTTTCAGCCATAATGCAAACCAGATACTACCAAGAGAGCCAAATGAGTAAAACACCGACGGCCATTTAAACTTCTGGATCAGAATAGGAGAAAAAGCCAACCCAGTGACAGAACCAAGATACATGCCACTATATACTAGTGAAAGTGCTCTGCTTCTCTCTGACACTGGAATCCACTTAGATAGTATATTATTCATTGCAGGCATAGCAACACCCTGTGGAAAGAAAAAGAGAAATTTGTTCAGCAATGAGAACCCTTAATTGGATTGTCAATTCCTATTTCAGGAAGGAAGCGGATATACAATAGATCTCAAATGCGAAAAAACTTAGGAAGCTAAGCAAAAATTTGTATGTGCTAAGCTACAAAAGTGCATTGAGACAATTACTAACCAATGAACCTGCCATGCAAATACAAGCTCCTCATTCTTTTTCAATTTTTAGGTGGTATCAAAACCAATGTAGTTTTTAGGTTAATTATTTGCTCCTGTCTTGTTTCTGCTCTTTGCACGGTGTTTCAGTTGTAAAGTTAGCCAAGTCAATTCCTAAGCAAAAAGGTCCACTAGGAGAGTTTCAGATTTAAATTCAAATGCAGAATAGTAAAGGACCAGAGATCCAAGGCAAAGCATTTGAAAAGACAAACCTCACCAATCCCCATAAAAGCGCGCATAATAAGCAAAAAAGGAAGGCTGATTTTTGCTGCAATAGGTGTCAAAATTGTCGCTACTGACCACCAGATCACTCCGAAACCCAATACACGCTTCCCACCAATTTTATCTGCCCATATGCCTCCAAGAATCTATATGCAAGAGAAATCATAAAACTATTAGTCAGACAGGAGAATCAAGCGTGGAATTTCTAACATCATCTGGATAGGAAAATAGATATATGCATACATCAGATATGTAGCTTGAACACCAAATATATGGCCGAGCTAACTACTAAGAATGAAACAGTATCCTCTAAATGATACGAGGACAACCATGATCACATACCTGCTAATGTGCGCATAGAAGATTGAGAATGAAAGTGTAATTTATTTGAGTAAGGAAAAACGCATTAACTATACTGAGTCAAACCTGAGTAAGTAGGTAGCCCCAGAAAAAAGAGGACTGAATCAAGCCAACTGTTGCACTATCCCAGTTAAATTCCTGTGACATGGGAAGTATTGCAATGCTCATGTTTACCTACAATAAAAATTTAACATTGTTAGCTGATTGAGATATATCAGATGAACAAACGAAAACAATAGAAACATAATTTTCAAGTTTGCAATGCTTAGACCAATGAGAAATAAAAACAATGATTATAAATAGAAAAATACTCACACGATCCATGTTGCACAATAGAAATGCTGTAAAACAAAGGAGTACAATCACCCAGCGCTTGGGAAATTGCTCCCACCAAGAAGATACTTTAAGCCCATTTCCATCTGCCAAAACAGCTTCACTAGACCCCTCTATTGATGACAGTGAGTCCACCTCTGGTTTTGTTATGTCATTATCCTCCGACTTGTAATAAGCACAGGTCCTGTTAACCTTATCCAGCTTTCTTGATAGAATACAACTGCTAAATGAATGGTTTGAAGAAAGATAGTTTTTACATCTTCCTGTACTTCTTTGTTTAGTAATGATGCTTTGAGACCTTATACCAGATTGCAGAGACATTATTAGATAAAGGTGATCACCTTCATCATGCACCCTACCTGTTGGCTTCAGAATGTTTGCATCTGAAGAACTAATTGCACGCAGATAAGGGCGATACGAGTATTTAGATACAGAACCCCTTGGAGTACATAAAGTTTGGTAAAATGCTTTTCCCTGATTGTACAGACGCTCTCCTTTGCGATGCACAACAGCGTGGTTTGTTTGACATACTTTCCCTGCCAATATCAAAGAGTTACAGATAGTAACAAGGGAATCGCCTCAGAAGCATCAAATTGAAGATAGTAAGCTATGTTGATCAGCATTCCCAAATTGTCCATCTTTCCATCTATTTCCAATTCGACATATAAATTGTCTAAATTTCTTCGGCCGAATTAAGCTAGTCCTTAATGAACTCAGAAAGATAAAAGCATTCCCAAAATTGCTCAGTACATATATTCATACACACACACACACACACACACACACACACACATATATATATATATATACGTCTGTGAAACAAGAAACCAGTCTAATTTAGGTTGGGAAAAGTTTACATGCACTGAAATTTATTGCTGATTGGTGAATTGTTGAATTAAAGGTAGACTTGGCTTAAATTACTACATTCCCTGAAAAATTCAGCAGCAAAATCAACAATTTGCTACCGAAAATTTACCAACATAACCAGATTATGTACAGATAATGCAAAGCAGAAGAAGCAACATGCAACCAAATAAACAAATTCGTTAAGCTCACAAAAATGGAGATTCGAAAATATAATAATCAAATTCAAACCACATGCATGCATGAATTCCATTGAGAAGCTACAATTCACAAAACGCAACCAAAATCAAAATACCAAAAACTAATAAGAACAAAAACATCAGGATAAGGTAGTGAAGCAACAGTACCTGAGTCGATAAAAGAACCCAAATTCCGGTTCGAGATCAAACCGCCGATAGCCATTTTGCTCTGTATCTCTTGATTGAAGCTAAACTCAAACAAGTAACTGTTTCAGCTCAACAAGCTCTCACACCATTTCGGAATTCAGGGTCCAGCAACGAAAAAGCTGAAAGGCAAGGAGTGAAACGACAGTGTTTTCACGCTCTCTGTCTGTGCCTCGTTGCTTCTCAGTCGTTTTCACTCTCTTGAGCTTGAGAGGATAACCAGAAGCCTTTTTTTTCTCATACAAACATTGCTTCCAGATTTTTTATATTTAATATTTTTCTATTTTTTTATTATTATTTAAACAAGCGGGAAGAATCTGAGTGGGCGTTATACTCGAAGGAAGATGGGTCGAGAGGCTGACACGTGGCGTATCATCCTCGTGAAAGGAGGGGAAAAGGTCAAAGTTATCCAAATGCCCCTCCATGCAAGTCGGATATTCGGTTGCTTTTAGATGGGTCAAAGGATAATTAAAGAGCGAGAGTATGGGTAATTTCGGAAATTTCCAGAAATCTGGCCCTTAGTTTAAACCAAGCACCCTCTCAGAATTGCAAAAGTTGCTATTTGATTTTAACGAAACAAATTTTTTTGTTTTTCTTTTCTTTTAAAATTGTAATATTTTGTTATTTTATTGCGTTTATTTCTGTGTAAATTACACTCCGCATAATTTGTGGCCAACGTGGACTATTCGTACTCGACGTCACATGTCATAAAATAATCTCACCTCCTCTTATTAGTGATGCTAAGACTGTCGACATCTTGGTTAAGATGAAAGATAATTGTTTTTGTGTCACATAATTGTTTTTGTGTGTCACCGTAACACCACTACAACCTAATTGGATTTCAAAAGCGCCCCCGGATGCAATTCCGGCAAAGACAGAGAAGAAATTTTTCGAGATTTATTCGACTTCGAATACTATGATTATGCACATGAAAATGGTTTATAACTACAACAAGATTGTTGCTCTACGTTGTTCAAAATATATGAACACAGTTTCTTAACTCAATTTCTTAAACATTCTTGAACATCAGCCGTTGCAAACAAAGAACGACATACAAACAGGCAAATGGACAAAAACACGGCTACAGATTGTGATTTCATTGAAAAATAAAGGAGAATTGCCTAGGGTGCTTTCTAGTTTCTATGTTCAGATTCAGTACAGGTCCAAGGACTCTATCACGCGACGAGCTTGGATGTGAAGTGCGGTTAGTCTCTGCTCCGGATCAAGAGTTGAACCAAATTGACTGGCTGCCCATATCAAGGAAGCAGATTTCTCACCTAAAAGCCTCCTTATGTCTTCATGTACAGTTGCCAAGGGAGGCCTGTCCCTCCCATTTACATGCCCAATGAGCAGTAGCAAGAACTCTCCACATTTCAACCTAATCAGAAGCAAAAGATGTTGGCATTCAGTGTCCATTAGATTAGCAAAGAAAGGACCTCAGCCTAGGCAGACCAATATTCAGAAACCCTAACTCTAACTCATTTCTCGAAGAAGACCTCATTACTCATTTGACGAAAATGAAAATGAGCAACAGGACATAGCTCAACTAAGACTAGAATAAAAGAAAACATGGGATTTTTATCAAGACTCGTCTGATGCACAAGCCGAAAATGGCACTGCTAATGATAAAGATGCAAGGATTTGGAAGAACCAAGTAGCACAGACAGCAATCATGTGGCTACCATAAACCTATTGTTGCATAAACTTTTACATTTACCCGACAATTTATCAATGAAACTACTCATTTCCCAGAATTCACCCTTCGAAAAACCACACTCAGGACAGTGAAGGCACCATCTCAATATATAATGTTAGATTTTATGCAATAACGGAGGTTAACATAAGAAACCAATCAATCAATCAGCATAAATTGAACAAAAACCTGAGGTTCTCATCAACTTGCTTGTCTCTAATGAGCTCTGCAACTTCCTCAATACCATGAAACGCTTCAAAATCCTGAACATTACACAAAAACAATGAAATTGTAAAATCCCATCACCAATCAGAAACCAAGCACAACGAGATTGAAGCTTGAACCTACCATTTGATTAGCTGATGAATCCAACATTATTGCAATCAAAGCATCCAAGCAAGCGCTTTGCTCAATCACCCCTCGAGTTGGTAGTATATTCATCAACACCTACACAAACCCAATTACAAAAACAAAAACAAAAAACTTTCATATCTGAAATTCATAACTACTCCATAGATTTTGGTTGAGCTTTTAGCTACATGGGTACCTACCTGAATGGCCTTGTGCTGATGAGCCAAGACCGCGCTATCTGGATGAAGCAGACAACAGCCCTCCAAAACTCGAAGCGCAAGCGAAACCTCAGAGTCGCTTGCAGGGCTCGTGATCTTCAGAGGCTCGACCCCGAAAATGTGATCCAAATTTCGCACGATCTCATCCTCCGCATCTTTCAGCGAGTTTTGAAACAGAACCGGCACCACTGTTCACCATTTTCAAACAAATCAAAATCAATTTATCAGGAACTGAAAGCAAAAATTGAAATTTCTGATTTCGAATTACCTTGAAGCTCAGGGAGCGATTGGGTCTGAGAGAAGAGGTTGATGGTGGAATCGGACTCGGCGACTGATCGGAGGAACTTGAGGAGGCTGCGGAGGCCGCGGACTCGGAGGAAAGAGAACTCGGCGCGAACGTCGCGCAGGCCGCTCCGGAGCGCGAGGGTGACCTCGCGGTACACTCTCTGCGTGGTCAACGAGTTGACCAGATCGCTGACGGCGGTCGCGGGCTGGTTTGAATCGGATTCCGCCGAGGCCTTCGGTGTTGTCGTTCCCTCACTCCATAGCGGCTTCTTCAAGTACATCGCTCAGTCTTCACTCTGTCTCACTAACGAGAATTCTTCCTTTCTGTTGCTCTTTACCTCCAGAAACGTTGTGATAAAAAAGACGAAGCTTTTGGGCCTTTTGGCTCCGTAATACTAGGGGTGGGCACGGTACGGTATGATACGGTATTTAGCCCATACCGCTACCGATACCGGAAATTTAAATCGGTATGGTACGGTATGTGATTATCGTTTGTCAAAATTGTTACCGTACTGTACTGTGCCAAATCGGTATCGTTACTATTTCAGTACCAAAATAACACAACTAAAAAATGAACCAATTCAATATTCAACATATTCATTCACCAAAATAAGTGATGCCTAAGTTACAAATTCAAATATTCAACATATTCAATATCCAAATCCTAATCAACATATTCAATATCCAAATCAACCAAATCAATATTTATCCATCAACAGATTCATCAAATCCAAATGGTTAAAACTCATGCCTTATGGCTTACAAACCAAAATAGTTAAAATTATGGAGGAGAGTGAGGGTTTGGCTTTGGCGTTTGAGAGGCAAGTGAGAGACAACGAGAGAATGAAAATAAATAAATTATATTTCAGTACTATTCTGTACGGTACGGTATTGACCGGTACCAAATACTTGATACCGCTATCATACCATACTATATTGGTACGGTACGGTATGGTACGGTTCGGTTATGGTACGGTTTCGGTATTTTGGTTTTAGGAGAGGCCCTAGCCCTAGGTGTGAGTTCCAGCGGGCTTCAGTTGCCCGGGTAATTGGTGGGTCCCACGTAATTGGGCAGGCCCAAAAGCAAAACGAGCCCGAGCTGGTTTAGAACCTCAATTGAGTGTTATTCACAAGTTTAAGTTCTTATTGTGATACTGTGGTTGGTTGGTTTCTTTTTGCATTCTCTTCTCTTATAGGGAATTATACTCGTTCCAGCTATTAGAATTACTTTTAGAAATAACAAAATATGCTTGTAACATCTTATCTGCTAAGTCTTATAGGAACGAATGAAATTGGTAGTTCATAAACAGTCGCAAAAATTAGTGGATTTGATCCTAGTAAAGCCTTTGTTGCTACTTTATTTGTATGTGTTATCCTGCTAACAGTTTCTTCCACTTGCAGTTCATTGATGTTGGAACCATGGTTTCTCCAACAATTTTTGCCCCCCGTGGTATGTCTTATCTCATGAATGACATGCCTCAGGAAGCTCTGAACGATGCAATGCAATCTCAAGTAATTTCCCCGATATGGCACATTGCATCTTATCTTCAGGCTGCTGCCCTGTCTGCCCTTGGAATGGACAATGAAGCACAAGCAGCACTGAAGGAGGGTACTATGCTTGAAGCCAAAAGGAACTCTGCAGCTGGAAAGAAGTGAAAACCAAGGGTCTGGTACTGAATTTGACACTTCTCAGTTTGGCTCTCAGCACATATAGATGTTGCTCATAAGGTTTCGAACCACGAAAGTCAAAGCTTCACTCAGTTCCATGATATTAAGATTTTGGTCATTGTCCATTAAATGTTTGATTTGATTTCTTGTCCATTAAATGTTTCCAGTATATGAATTACTCTGGAAAAATGGAAAGAAAAAAAATGTTGTAAACAACAGTGGGAGGAAAAAAGCTTGTAATTTGTGTACAGAATACATCAAAGATTCCTGGTGTATTATTTCTGATGAAAAACAGAGGATACCTATTCATAATTGGCTTTCTGCAGAAAATAAAATTCATGGCAAACAATTGTTTGGAGAAGTCCTATTCAAAATTGCTTACAAACAAGACACACTAACAAATTATTTACCAAGGAAAATTCCCACTACATAATTGCTTAGAAACAAAGATACAGTAACAAATCCTTATTAATATTAATACAAACAAAGCCAATCATTTAAACCAATACTAGAAAACTTGTGCAGATATATCATTGCTTCCATGGCAACTATGCACTCTTCAAGTCAACTGACGCATGGAGGTTGCCTCCGACTCTGAAGATGCTGGAGCTAAAGCTACAAGCAAACAAGCACCCATAAGTTTTGATGAAAACCAAATTAAACAAAAATAGCTTAACTCCATATGTTTTGTTTAAAAACAGAAGATTCATGTACTTACAGCTTAGCTATTCAGCATATCCTTGACTTGCCGCTTGATCAAAGCTACTCAGAGTAGCCTACTCTCACATAAAGCCAATCATTTAAACCATTCAGGAACTTGAAGTATGCGTATCTCCATGACCTCTTGAATATCAAAGTGCCGCAAATTCCCCAAAATCCAGCTGCAAACCCAACCCCCATACTGATGTAAAATCCCAGTGTTACAAGCTCATCATTATCATCCTCTTGATTGCTCAAGTCAGTTTGCACATGTTGAGCAGCACACATCTTCTTAAGTGGAGGTCCACAGAGTTGAGGATTTCCAGCATAAACAGAGGGATCAAAGCTTTGGAGCTGAGTCCCGATTGGAATTTCGCCAGATAAGTTGTTAAATGACAAGTCCAAGAAACCAAGACGATCTATCCTGGAAAGGCTTGTTGGAATTCGTCCTTCTATCTGGTTTCTTGATAAATCAAGGACATCCAGTGACTGCAAGTTTCCAATCTCTGGAGTTATTTGACCTGTTAATTGGTTTCTCGATAGGTTTAAAGAAACCAACCCAACAAGATGAGTGATTTCACTTGGAATCTCTCCTGTCAATCTATTGCTTGACAAATCAATTATCTTCACAAGCCCCAAAGTGTTTTTGTATGATTGCATTCTTCCTTTCCATATGAAGGTTGCATTATCCTCATATTGACCTTCATCACTATCATAAGAAATATCATAAGAATTTGAAATAGGTGCTGCGGCGGGAAGATGTTCGATGTCCAGACTTGGATTTCCTTTCTGAGCCAGAGTAGTTAAATTGTTGAGGCATTTGGGTATGCTTCCAGAGATGTTGTTCATGGAGAAATCCAAAATTTGAATGTCTGTTAGATGGCAAATTTGTGTGGGCAAGCTTCCATTGAAGTGATTAGACGAAAGCATCAGGATAACCAAATAATTTAAGCTAACCCCTAACCATTTAGGTATGGGTCCGGATAATTTATTATCCCCAACATCAATGAGTACTAAACTCGTGCAATTCTTCAACGACGAAGGCAATTGTCCCACAAATCTATTGCTTCTCAATTTGAGTGTTTCAATCTGAAATACGGAGCCCATTGTTGTAGGAATTTTCCCGGATAAAGCATTATAACTCAAATCAAGCATGACTAGATTTTCCAAATGTGTCAAGCAATCTGGAACTTGTCCAGAAACATTATTGCTTGAGAGGTCAAGAAAGAATAAACCAATAGCTGCACTTGAACACAAGAACGAAATTGACCCTGAAAGTTTATTATAAGAGAGATCCAGATATGAGGCTGTTGATAGAACTGAGGGGATTGGACCTTCCAACTTGTTCGAACTCAGATGTAGTTCAGGGGAATGTGAAAATTCCAATGTCAAATCTGCAAATGTACCTCTAATTTGGTTGCTTGTGAGATTCATAAATATCACATTATGACATGAACTCCAAAACCAACTTGGAAGAATGTCGGAAATTCCGACATCAGAAATATCAAGGTATGAGAATTTTTTTTGAGTTTTAAGCCACTCTGGGAAACCCGGACCAATCTTGCAAGACCGCAAAATTATACGGTCCAGTTGGAAAGGTGGAATCCAATCAGCATGGATGTCTAAAACTAGTGAGTTATAAGAGTTTTGAGAAGACAGATCCAAAACCTGTAATTTGGAGAGTTTTGAGAAATGAGTTTCTGAAATCACTCCTTCCAAAGAATTCATGTGAAAATCAATAGTATTGAGCTTCGACATTCGCCCTATACTTTCAGGTATCCCTCCGCTTAATTGATTGTTATAAAGATGCAAGATTTCCAAAGATGAAAGGTTTGTAAGATCAGGTAATGACCCTGCAAGATCATTCGAAGAGAGAACCAAAACCCGTAATTTGAAGAGTTTTGAGAAATGAGTTCCTGAAATTACTCCGCTGAATTTATTGTCATTTAGACACAAGACTTCCAAAGATGAAAGGTTTGTAAGATCAGGTAATGACCCTGCAAGACCATTCCAAGAGAGATCCAAAATCTCCAATGAGTTTTGAGCACATGTAGAGAATAATATTTGAACAAACTTAGCAAGTTGTCCACTCACATTCAGACGATTCGTTGCAAGATCCAATGATTGCAAACTACATAATCTGGAAAAAGAATGCGGGTCCCCTCCTTCAAGTTGGTTGTCCAAGAGATTAAGATGCGCCAGAGAGCTCATGTTTCCCAAAACATCAGGAATTGAACCAGCTAGAAGGTTATTAGAGAGGTCAAGATCAACAAGGCTGGTATTATAGTTGGACAACCATAGAAATATTGAAGAAGTACTCAATTGGTTGGAAGAAAGGTCAACGCTAGCAAGAGATTTAGAAGAGTTTATGTAAGAAAGAGTGGAAAGAATTGGAGAAGGAAGATCACACTCCCATAGTGTCAAGTTTGTTAGTTCAGGAAGCTTATTAATGGCTTCCGGCCAATCGAAAACATTGCTGAGATTCAACCAACTCAAGTCCAAATATCTTAATGACGAAAGAAGAGGAAGCCAATCAAGATTTTCTGCATTTGTAAAGTCATTTAAACTCAAGTCCAGATGCTGCAAGTTCGTAAGATTTCCGACCTGACTTGGAAACTTGCCTCCAAAAAGAGTGTTAGACATATCAAGGTATCTTAAATTGGATAGAGAACCAATGAAATCTGGAAATTGTCTCCCATTGAAACTAATCCCACGAAGGTCCAAATGGTGTAAATGCTGCAACTCAATCAGTTCAGGACTAATCATCTTACCTTCCAATAAAGAATTATCCCATGAATGTGCGCCCACAACTTTGTATGAAAGGTCAAGTTGAAGAACATGACCTGTTTGGTTGCTACAAGAGACTCCTATCCATCTGCAACAATCTTGTTTCTGGGCTTCTGAACTCCATGAAGAGAGGAGATCGGACTTATCCACCAGGCCACGTTTGAATGCAAGGAGTGCTTGCCTTTCCTTCTCTATGCACCTCCCAGTCACATTAGCATCCCTGTGGTTGCGACTAACTTCTCCGCCTTGGACGCACTGTAGCAAAAGCAGCGCAATTGCAAGAAAGAGTTTCAAACACATCCCGTGACCCTGCATGTTAATAGATTCAAATGCGAGATCAACACGATTCAATTAAGAGGCACAACTATTTAGCATTTATGAATGCAATATTAGGTCGAAGATGTAGGGGGAAAAAAACGAAGTCTTTCATGACTGGAACTGACTCGAAGTCTTTTAACCCTGTTGCTGTTTGCTTTCCTAGAACGATAAAGCATGATAAGTGGCTTGATTTTTCTCTGTCGGTGGCCGAAATTTTAGAAAACACATGAAAAGGTAGAAAAGTGGCTCTTGGGGAGCGAAGTCTTCCCTTGACTTGACATGGTGATTAAATTGTAGAAAATATTTGCATATAGTTGTCATCTATACTACCGTAATAAAGGTTACAGAAATACAAGCTACTTGTTAGTTGTTAGGAGTCTATAAAAGAAGAGATTACAGTATCCTCATTTTAGATAATCTGCTTCTGTATTCATTTTGTGCATGTGATTGTCACTGAACTTCTCAGTTGCATATGTTCTGTTGCAACTGTCTGTTGAGTTTCTTGCCACTTTTATCTTGTATGCAAACTACTGTTACTGAAACATTTTCATTTCTCCCGTTCCACTGCAGCTCTCCTTTCAAATGTGGACTGACCAAATGCAGGAAACATTAGATTCAAAGAAAAAGGGGGATTCTGCTTTTAAGCATAAGGACTTTAGAACCACAATTGAGTGTTATTCACAGGTTAAGTTCTTATTGTGGTGCTGTGGTTTCTTTTTGCATTCTCTTCTCTTGTAGGGAAATTATACTCATTCCAGCTATTAGAATTACTTTCAGAAATAACAAAATATGCTTGTAACATCTTATCTGCTAAGTCTTATAGGAATGAGTGAAATTGGTAGTTCATAAACAGTCGCAAAATTATTGAATTTGATCCTAGTAAAGCCTTTGTTGTTACTTTATTTGTATGTGTTATCCTGCTAACAGTTTCTTCCGATTCAGTTCATTGATGTTGGAACCATGGTTTCTCCAACAATTTTTGCCCGGCGTGGTAAATTGCTATGTATGAATGACATGCCTCAAGAAGCTCTGAACGATGCAATGCAAGCTCAAGTTATTGGGATGGCTATCTTTACAGTATGTGTCCTTTGTACTCTTTCTTACTATTGTTCTAATAAAATTTTATCTCCTTTTATAAGATTAAAAAAAACAACAACATAGTAAGCTATATCGTCTATGTATCATATTTGAATTGAGGACTAAATGCTTTATTGTGTAATTTGTGCATTTCAAATTTTCAATGAGATTTTGACTTGAAAATTCTATCAAAGGAAAGTGCCCCATATTTATCTATATATATAAAGGCGAAGATATATAATAGTGAAACATTCAAAATACTAAAATTTGCTCTTGATTAAAGAATTTATCAAGCATTGAAATTTTTCAATAAATAAGAATATAATAATAAATTAATATTTTTTCATATTAAAAAAAATTAAATTAAATCCAAATCAGAATAAGAACATGGGTCTTAATTCAAAATCAAAATAATAAATTTTATTTATTATGTCGTAGTGTAAGTATTGATGACTTGATTTTAAAGACTTGGACTCTTTATTTCCACCAAAAGCACATTTAAATAAAAAAAGAATTGGGATTTTATAATGCAAAACATAAGTGTGTCTTTTGCCAAACTTTGTACCCAACTACTCTTTTTTCCAGTCCACCGAGACTTATCTTTTTGAAAAGTGATTATGAAGTGGGATGCAATAATTTTTGACATATCATTGTAACATGTTTCACATATTCACATTATCTTTTTGAAGTCATTATCTTTTTAGCTGGTATGCTAAAAAGAAGAGGATGCACTAATTTTTGGCATATCCTTGTAACGTGTTTCACATATTCACACATACATTTATTCAACACAAAACATGAAAAATGATTGCATATATCATTCATCTGCTACTTGTACAAATGATTGCAAGTACCCATAAATTGACTTGAGACTTAAGTAATTGACTAAATTTTGAAAGTCTTTAATTTGTAGTCCCCTACCAACCAATCTCTGGTTCTTTCTCATTTTCTCTCTCTCTCTCCCTCCCAACCTCTCTCTTATTCCCCTTTGAAGTTGCAGATCTCCATCCCCTTCGAAGTCACAAATCTCCATACGGTTGCACTGAGCCATGGTTGGTAGTGGTTGAGCTATCTAATGGTTCGATTGGGTTTTGGTTCAATTGGGTTTGAATGTGTGAATGTGATCAGTGGACAAGATTTTGAGACATAAAAATAAGAAAAAGTGATGAATAGCTGAAGATTCAAGTTAATATCAGGCACAATTGTTACTTGTACCCTAAATGCCAAAACGAAGATAGACACTCTAAAAAACGACACAATGTATACATATGTTGCTAGTACTGTATAAATTGGTAAGACGACTGAATAAAACTGAGGGTCATTTTTATAGGGGTTTTAAGGTATTTTGAGTTTACAATCCCTTAAACTCGTAGTTACCAACCTCAAAGTTAGGGAGATGGAGCCACTACCTATGGAAATAACCCTTGAGTTTAATTCATCTTGATTGTGTGGGAGGGAGTTATAAGCTGAATGTAATGTAGTTACAGCTATTTTCTGGTCTGTTGAGAATAAATGGAGATGATACACTCTCACTTATTTAACAAAGGTTTTAAATGGTTTGTTCTTCATTCAAATGTGAGCTAGAAAACCGCCAAATCATAAACAAAAGAATATGAGAAAGCACATTCTTGGACTATCATATTAAATCATATGCTCAATGATGATTGCTATATGTGATGCAAAAACTGTGGTGGCCAATATGATATGTGGATGGAACATTCTTGTTTGATTTGGTCTATGGTTTTCTATGCTCTTCTCTTTTGATTCATACTTTTCTTGCACGGTACTAAATCATAGATGTAAATCATTCATCAAGAAAAATCATTAGGAATTAATGCTTGGAGCATGTCACCATCTATACTTATACTTACCACAATGTAAAGTGGAACTTGAAAATAGCATAGGAAGCCAAAGGGAAAGATCAAATACCCAAATTTAATGATTTTTTTTTTTTTTTTTAACAAACACAAACTTATTAATACAAAAAGAAGGCATATAGAAGTAGGATGGATGAGAAAATCCACGATATCCAGAAAAACACCCTGAAGCAAAGAACACATATTACTTTTTTTTTTTCTGGGTGAAAAAACACATATTACATTCAAATTAAAACTCTCCACAATCTGCCAGCAATACTTTGATAAAGAATACTTTTGTCACGCCCAGAATTTCCAACAACAATTAACCTCCTTAGTTAATACAAACTAACTAATTCGGGCACGCGAAGCTCGGAACTGTAAATTTCTACAAGTGTGACTCCAAAGCTGTAGGTTTCACTTTTATCTGTAAATTTACTAGATCGGAAGTACTCTAAATCCATGTACCCAAAAGTTCCTTGTACTTCTATGGTTAACTGAGTTTTGTCCTGATTTTGAAGTCCCAAAGTCGGATACTTTAGCACTGTAGTTATGGTCTAGAAGAATGTTAGAAGACTTGAAGATGGGGGATTGAAGCTGCAGAGTGCATATATGATACTGCTCCAGCAACTTCACAGGCGATCTTGAAGTGATGTTCCCATGAAAGTGATGGTGTTTCAATGTGCTTCTGCTGGATACAGTATCGCCGTGCGGCTATACTGTATAAACAGAAATTTTAAAAGTATAACAGTAGAGCCGCGCGGCTATACTCTATAAATAGAAAAATTTCCCGTAAAGCCGGGCAGCTATACTGTACAAATAGAATTTTAGAGTATAGCCGCCCGTCTATTCTATAAATATAAAATTTTCAAGTAAAGCCGCACGGCTATACCCCATAAACAGAAACTTTTCAAGTAAAGCCGTTATACTCCCTAAATATAATATATTAACAGTATACCCGTAAAAATTTTAACAGTATAGCCGCGCGGCAGCAGATCCAGCACGAGCATATGTAAAATCAATATGACCATATGTAAGTTAATGTGAACCTACATTTTAGTTCCAGCGGCAGCAGATCCAGCACAAGCATATGTAAAATCAATATGACCATATGTAAGTTAATGTGAACCTACATTTTAGTTCCAGCGGCAGCAGATCCAGCACGAGCATATGTAAAATCAATGATCCGTAGCAAAGAAATTAGATCGGTGATTACAATAAGTTCTTAGGTTAAGAATGCACATAATGGTGGAGTTAGTCAGCCACTCGAGGACAACTAAGCACTAACAATGATGCACCTTTTATTCTGACCTTGTTTTTATACATATGTATCATTATAGAATACATGTAAATGAGAATGTATTTTCCATGTCGCATCTTATTTTCTATTTCTCATTTTACATGATTGTGTTTGTGCTCATAGGCAGATACATTATTTCCAAATTGACAAAAGATAGGATTCATATTACATACCTCTCTGGAGTGCTTCAAATCTGCTTCATGATCTACTGAGCAGTTTTCAGGGGAAGTTTCTTCATAAGAACTGGTATTAGTACAAACAGAATTATTCAATTTGGTTATCAAGGAGCAGCTATTTTCCACGGGCAGTGATTTCCTCTGTATATTAGACTCATCCATATCTTTTTTTCATTTTTTCCTTTGGTAGAAAGTAATCAATGGGGTGGTCAAATTGTTTCACGCAAGCTGAATCACCACCTAATTTATCTAACTTATTTCTAGAGAATGAATCAGTGTCTTCTAAGTTTGATGTATTCAATCTTGGCGAGCTACCATCACATTCAGAGCTGCTGCTGCTGATGATGATTTTTATCTTACAAAATCAGCAGTAATTACAGCGGAATTCATCACCAATTGAGAAACTAACCTCCCTCCAACCAATGCTTCAGCATTAGCATTTGAAGATGAGCCTACTTTCTTGCCACTAGACTTATTCCCATATGCATCCCTTTGGGAAGGAACCTCATCAAGACTTGTTGGAACGGTTTTAATTGGTATTTGTCTTGTGCCAGATACTTCAATGTGTTTGTTTTCCTTATGGGGCTTATCTAGGCATTGGAGATGATATGACTGAAGGCATTTTCCACAGTGCTTCAGGTTACCCCCAACACAGTACACAAAACATACATGGCATACCTGCAAGAAAAAGAGGCAGGTGAGACAGAATATAGCAATTAAATTATCTACATAAAGATGATTGACATACAACATTTATCCCTATGAAACAAACTAAAAAAAGTGAACAGGTTCCAACTTTCTAAAATCTCACCGCAGAATTTCTATTGTAATGTTCTAATGAACGCTTATCAATGAAATGAACTTGCAAGTCTGGTGGTTTGCTTAAAGAAGTATCATCGGGAGCAACAAAAAGTGAATTACGGCACTCATGTCCTTGATTGCCGCTTTCGCTTATACGTTAGCAACACTTTGCTTCCTGACATTTAAGCTTTCAAAAAGAAACCTTGCTGCAATTCCAAACACTTGGACCGCATTTTTCACATGAAATTTGTATTTATTCCACTATGTTCAGTCTCATTTCAACACAGAAAAACCTACATATGTTAAGGAAGAATATCCAATTAACTAAACAGCAAGTCATGACTCATATAGTTAATACAGTTATGAGTAGCAACATAATGATAGTTGAAGGGCAAAAGACGGATTTCGACTACTCTGAAATAGTGAATCACTATTACGAGGACTGCGGCAAACAAAAATTGTACTAGCATTCTCCATCTAAAACACAAGCGGTCGCTAGCGGCTAGGCGGTCGCTAGGCAGTCTCTAGGCGGGCGCTAGGCGGCTAGGCGGCTAGGCGGTCTTTAGGCGGTCGCTAGGTGGCTAGGCGGGTGCTAAGCGGCTAGGCGGTGGCTAGGCGGCTAGGTAGTAGCTAGGCGGGCGCCTAGGTAGGTTGGGTCTTTTTTTGGTGCTGAACCCGGAGGACGAAGCAGTGACGGCGAGAGAAAGTTCCGTCCTCTGCGAGTGCAAGCTTTGTGTATATTTAAAGAGTATAGCCGCTCGGCTATACTTTTCAAATATTC